ATCAGACTTTGATCACAGAACTTAAAAACAACACTTTTGAGCAGCTCTCAAAACGATGTTAACATGTGTTCCTAATCCTTCTCTGCACATACTGTATATTCTTTACAACTCAAAAACAGAAAAGATTATCCATATCCTCACATTAATCATCTCTAAACTCCTCCTCTTTCAGAACAGTTTTGATGTCCTCAAACGAGAAGTCAGATCCGAGTTTGAGAACCTCCACCGTTTCCTGGATGAGGAGGAATGTAAGGATCTGGAGCGACTTCAGAGAGAGAGACAGAAACAAGTGAAGCAGCTGAAGGAGAGGAAGAAGAAAATAGAAGCGCAAGCGACAGACCTGGAGACAGCGATATCAGTCCTCAACAAAAAACTGACCGAGGAGGACCATCCCAAACTGCTCAGAGTGAGGAAGAGAAGACATCGGCATGCACATATGTGGCTTATTATTAGCTTGAATACTCTGTAACCATTTCGACAGAGGGTTAGCTAATGTAAGATAGAGGTGTAAAATAGTTTGGACTCCCTCCATATGACACTCTGGAAATTCCTTCCCCAGCAGCAGGGCCACACACGGGGTCACAAAGGGTCACTGCAAGCATTCCCCTTGGCCTGCGACAAACTTACCACTCGTGACTTGTCGAAATAACTGTCTATAATTGCTCCTTCTCTTGGAGCTGCTTGGAAACAATGTGACTGTGCAGGTTAACATCACCAGCTGCAGAGCAACCCTGTTAGCTGTTCTGCCTCTCTTCCTCTGCACTCCTTTGAGCAATTACAGACATTGATTGGCTAAAGGGTTGACTTTCACAATCAATTTCTCATTTAAAAGTGAAAGGGAGTCAGCAAATAGGAACAGGCAGCGATCTGGCTGAGGTCAAAGCTTGTATTTTTAGTTCAAACTGAATCAATCAATCACATTTTATTTATGAAGTCCAATGTAACAACAAGAAAAAATTGCTGTGTTGTGTTTATGGAATAAAAAAGATAGTAACATGACATGATAGACAATGTGATTATTTCCACTAACTCTCCTTGAAATGTTTTGTTTTGCAGGAAATTCAAGATCTCATAAAAAGGCAGGTCTCCTCAACCAAACTATTTTCTTCTCCACCATTTTCCCTTTCTCTCATTAATCTTCTGTGTGAGCATGCTGGGCATTTCCTCTCATTTCTGCACATCAATCCATCTCCATAACCCTCAAACTTTGGTGTGTTTACCCGATCGATGTTCCACCATTCATCATTCAGTCTTCCCCCTTCCTGCTTTGTCCTAACAGGTCCCAGGTCAGCTTCAAACCTCCAGCAGAGGTGGACACTGAGGTGCGCTCCGGACAGTTTGTGGGTCCCATTCAGTACCGGATATGGAAGCACATGAAAAGCTGGCTCTACCCAAGTATGTTCACACGATCTCCCATTTACAAGTGTGTGCATGTGTGCAAACAAATTCAAACCTTAAACTTGATACATATCTCTCTAAGATATTTTGTGCATGTAAATGGTCTGCAAAGGCTAAAATCCCAAATGTTTCTCTGCCTTAAACGCCTCCATTGGATTCCTTTATTTACTTTTATAACACACACTGAAATACATCACTATGTAACACTCGCGCTTCTATTGGCCTGTGCCCAAACACATTGCACGTGATAGTGCTAAGGGGCGGGACATCTCTAAGCGGTTGACCAATCACAACCAGCTAACCAATCAGAGCAGACTGGGCTCTGGTTTCAGACAGAGGGTGAAAAGGGTAGAGGCACTAAATACAAATATGAACCTTAAAATGAACATAACAGCTTTTCTTAAAGTTCTCATCGACAAGTTGTCAGATTGGTCCCCGCCTCCCTTGTTTCCTTGTTTCCTAGTTTCCTCTCCTCGCTGAGTTGCCATTACAGTATGTCATTTGATTGACCACATACAAACTTACTTTATCTCTATTTGCCTACAGGTATAACATCAATGACCTTTGACCCTGAGACGGCCCATCCTAACCTATCCCTGTCCAAGTCCTGCACCTCAGTGTGGTTTGAGGAGGATAAAGACACGAAGGATTGCCAGCCCAACCCTCAGCGGTTCCACTATTATTACTCTGTGTTCGGCAACCAGAGCTTCACCACTGGACGGCACTACTGGGAGGTGGAGGTGGGACGTAAGACAGCGTGGAGGTTGGGCGTGGCGCGAGCTGACGTCCCACGAGGGGAGATGGACGCGACAGGAACCTCCAGCGGCATCTGGACTATGGCCATGAAGGGCGGGTCTGTGGTGGCCTGCACCGACCCCGAGCCCACGAAGGTCAACGTGTCCACCCGCCTCGTCCGCATCGGGTTGTTCTTAGACTGTGAGAAGGAGGAGGTGTCTTTTTATAACGCTGTCACCATGTCGCCTATTTACACCTTCTCCATGGAGTATGTCGATGTGGCTCTGTTCCCCTTCTTTAACCCATGTGACGCAGACGAAGGGAAGAACCTGGCGGCCCTTAAGATGTTTAACCCTTCCATTTGATGCAGAGGTTTACAACACAAATTGTTCATTTAATGTTAATAAAACTACAGTATATATCATTTTTTGGGCAGGGCTTAAGAGACAAGATAATTAAGTGGCAACTATTAATTAAGTATGGGTAGAATAAAATCATTTTCATCTTGTGTGAAATAACAGCATTTCAATTTTCTTTGGACGTTTTTCAATTTCCTGTCATTTTAACAACAGAAGGATTAATTGATTGAGAAAAAAGATGACTTCACCTCAATTTTTTTTACATTGTACTGACTATATGATACATTGATTGAGAAAATAACAGACATATTCATTTACAAAGAAAACAATCGTTAGTTGTCTAATTGTATACTGTGAATACCACTTGCTTAAAAACTGTTAAATGATTGTTCAGTAGAAACATAAAACGTGCCTACACAAGTTAGTTTTCTGTTTTAAATGATCTTACTTAAAAAGTAAAATACATATTTGCTTCAAATGAAGGTTGTTATCTGCCGGGTCTCTGGGGTCCATAGCAAGTGTGAACATTATGACGTCACCTCTGTTCGGCTATAAATATCTCTGTTGTGGCTGCTTAGCTATGAAGTGTCCTGTGTGAGGGTATAGAAGCTGGTATTAGTGGCACGTGGGGCCTGAAGGGTGAGAAAGTGGCGCGTGACACTTTGATGGCTGACATTGAGTGAGACGACTCAGTGACAGGGAGAGAAAACAGTTTGAGAATAGGAAAACAAAGACAAGAGGACGGCAGAAATGTCATAATCGCTTGTTTATTCTTAGTATTCCTTTAGACATGAAATAAAGAAACAACAAATATTTTCTTTACAAAACATCTGTGTGTGAAGTGTTGTGCAAAAAGGGAGTACAGAGAGATGTCACACACACACACACACACACACACACACACACACACACACACACACACACACACACACACACACACACACATTCTCACACACACACATACACGCACACACCAAGGCCAGAACAGCAGAAGTAAACAGCGAAGATCAGGGCAGAGATGACTCACATAGTGCAAGAAGTGGTAGTAAAACTAGTAGTTATCTATTAGTTATTGGTGGGTAAACCGCCAGAATCTCCAATAACCCACCAGACTGAGCCTTCTTTGAGATGCTGGTAAACTAAAGGCTTGTCCTGCCTCTCTCACAACCCTACTCACTCTGACTGGAGTGGCTTGGTATTACAATCACTGACAATAATACTGTACAGTAGCGGTGGTGCATGGGAATGCTTTTACGTCAGTCTCTCGTCAAATGCTCACCACAACCAAACCCTGTTGGTTGCCCACACAAAGCGTTCATCTTATCAACTCCTTGCTGTGCCACACACTTGAATAGCCTAATGCTATTTGAAACACCACTCACTTACAGAGCGCCATCGGCACTCATTATGCTACTTATATTAATCTGGAAAATCACTTTCATATTTTTTATACATTATAGATATCTCCAAAGCATATCACAGGCTAGCCACTTGTTGTTCAGTCGGGTGTGCGAAAATGTTTTTTGAATACCCTACGTTTCAAGAAAAATGTGCCATTAGGAGTGTCGGCAAATGACAAGAGGCACTAAACAAAGACAAGAGTCACTGAAATATTTCAAAGTTACGATATCTTTTACAATATTCTGTGGCTTTACACACATTCACACTTAAACACAGCACTTGGTTTCTTCATGTTGCGGGACGATTTAAGCAGGCACATGAATACCTCACTCGACAACACACACACGGAGAAGCTCAAATAAAGTACAGTCGGGTCACTCGGTACACGCTGGCTATGCATAGATTCAGCATGCACAATAAACCGCTCATAAATCATTCACACGTGTGCGTCATAGGCAAAAACACAGAAACACACGATGATGGCAACATTGAAACGTCACTCCTCTGGACACACACACACACACTTTAGGACGATAAAGCCTGTTTTTCATGTCGTGGGCATGCTGCAGCTTTAGGTGACGTAGGTTAAACATTTTAATACAACATGTAAATACTGTGAAGGATAATGCGAGCACGGTCAGGTTGGCAATAACAGCAGATCCCAAAAGATCTAATATACTCTTTAATAGATTTTTTTTACAATATTTGGTTCTTAAATTAGTTCAAGATGTTAGTGAATATTAGTGAAGATAGATTATAGTGCTGTGAGCGTATATATTTTATATTCTGGATTTAATTTGAGTGAGACATTTTAAATTCTTCTTTATTATTCAGTATAATACAACAACCATTCTATACACTAGAAACATTCAGCCTGTAGGGGGTTACACCGGCGTACACATGCAATATTTACACTGCTGGAATGTGTGTGTGTGTGTGTGTGTGTGTGTGTGTGTGTGTGTGTGTGTGTGTGTGTGTGTGTGTGTGTGAAGACAATTGTTAGTATTGCCAATATAGGTTTGTGTTTGTTTTACAGATCCAGGCTAGAAATGAGGCGTATCCAGAGTTTGTGTAAAACATCTGACTATATGTAAATTGAACATCGAGGCCCCTTCATTGTTTTTGTTTATTATATTTGTTGATCTTAGTATCAAATCCGACATCTAAACCTCCCTCATCATATGGTTCTTTAAAATGCTAAAGTGTTGCATGATATTAATTGAACTGTAAGAAAAATCTATTATTTAGGAAAGCTACCAAGAAATGTTTCCACATCTCACTAACTGAATTTCATGGCTGTCATTTTGTGCTTAATTGAAAAAGGTTTTTGTAGATTTCCGTGCAATTAACCTGGACTTTCCATTGGTTGGTTAAAATATGAGGCAGAGACATGCATTTTGTAACACTAAAATGTATCTGCACACCTCCCTCTACTATACAGGAGGTTCAGCTACATTTGATCTGTGTTAAACAGCCACACAAATGATGCTGTGGCTTCCATGAATGCGTCATTGAAGTGTTTTGAACCATTAAAGAAACAGGAACTACTTTAAGTCACTGTCAACACAACCAAATACTTCAGAGGAAATATCTAGTTGGAAAGAAACAATAAATCTTAATCAAATCTCTGTCAAAAGCTGTGTACTTTAAGAGACACCGCAAAATAATTTTCTGCTCTTACTTCCGGTAACATGTATCAATGTAGATTTAAAAAAAAACTCATCAGCAATATTTCTTTCCAGATATCACAATAATCAAGATAATCCACACACCTTGTTACGATCAGTTTAATGTAGAAACAACTTCATTACTGACAAATTACACGTGCAAAGGGAGGTGGATGCACGCTTCCCTTTGTAGCAGGTGTACTTTAGTAAAAGAAACTTAGAAAGAAACATTGCTGTTGTGTTTTCTAAATTCATTTTTGGCACACTTGCGCACCACAAGCCAAGTACTAAGTCGTTTCATTATATTTAAGAGAAGGGCAGACATCTCTACGGCAGGTATCTCCAACACTTGGCAACACACACCAGAACGATTTAGATTACTGAACAGCACCACAGATATCATAACAGAGCAAATATGCCTTCTGTGTTTTTGGGTGTTCTGTCCCTTTAAGTAAGTAATTCTCCGCGAAGGAAAGGAGAAAGGGATACAAAAAAAGAAGAAACAAGCTAGCACGTGCTAACTTTTGACCTCACCAGACGTTTTCATTCAGGGTTTCACCTTGGAAACACAGCGGGTACATGGTGGTCCTATTAAGTGCTGGAGTTGCTGCTGTTATAAGCTTGCTAATAAACTGAAGGAATAATGGGACTTTTATAGAGCCGCGGGGAAATCCAGATCAAAGGCAGCAAAGTGGTTGATCCGGACTTTAGGGATCAGTCGGCAAAACACATTTTAATCAGCGGAGATATCCATTGGGAGACTGAATATCAATATCAGAGGCTATAAATAGTAAAGTTAGTATTATTAGTTTGGTGAAGTTACGCAAAACTAATTGTTGTCCTATATGTGATCATGTATTGCAGATGTTTCAGAGGCTTTATTTCTGCAACAGTATGTACAGCGTGTTAACAAAGCGCTTTAATCTTTTTGTTTTGATGACGTCCAATCTAAAAAAAAAATCTGAGTGGCTGTAAATTTCATGCATTTTATCCACATGCTGATAGAGGAACAAGCATTTTAGATTGGAAACAGTTAGGTCTGACAATATACTTCCAGTATATTTTTGTTTTAATGTAATGTTGTAAACCTCTCTGGCTATTATGTTAGAAAAACCTTATGTGGAGTTTTATTTGTAAACTCTGCAAAGGAGTTAATTTGCAGTCTGACAGTTCTAATATAAAGTTACCAAAAAACAGATTTTAACAACAAGCCACATCTGTTACTGTATATGTATACGTTGTTATGAATCAAAAAGTCTCACAGGCTATGTGTTAGTTTGTGAGTTAGATACCGTTATCAAAGTAATATTGTGTTCAGGTGTTAGACATGTTGGACCGAAGTCCTCGCTCCGGTTTCAGTGGTTTCTTCATTATTTGGTGGGGGGTGTTCGATTGTCAGTGGTGGTAGATTGAGAATATCTGTGGGGCTTCCCTTGGTGTTTTGCAGGGGCAGTTCTCAGGTGGTGGTGGTGGTTGGATCCTCAGCCACGGCGCCATCTTTGCTGGCCTCCATTGCAGCGCCACTAGATTTCGGCTCGACTTCAGGGGTTTTCGGGGGAGCTGCTTTTGGAACCTCGATGATATCAATGTGATCCGGGCTGGGTTTGGAGTCTGGCTCAGGCGTACCGTTGGTGATGGGCTCGGGTGTGGTTGGCTTAGAGGGCTCAGGAGTTGGAGTCAGGGCACTTTTACGTTCAGCCGTTGGAGTCAGGGCACTTTTCCTTTCAGCCGTTGGAGTCAGGGAACTTTTTCTTTCAGCCGTTGGAGTCAGGGCACTTTTCCTTTCAGCCGTTGGAGTCAGGG